TTTTGAAATAAATATCCCTAAGAATCTAATTCAAGCATATATCAGTCAGTAGATTACGTGATTCTGTAGGTGTTTCTAAGGGTAAGTCGGGTGTGTTTGTGCTAAGAGAAGGATCATTTCTTAGTGTTTGTATTGACGAGAGGGGAGGGGTGGAAGGTCATTGCTTAGTGTCTGCTGGCGTCTTTTTTCCTATGACTCGTAAAAAGTGAGTTTTGATGGACATAACTCACCGAGATATGGGTGCTTGTAGGGATGACTTATATGCGATCTTACAAAGTTGGGTCTTGGTGTGTTTGCATAAATTACGAATACCCGGCGTTTTTTGTCTCTAGCTCTCGGTCAGTCAGGGATTTCTTATTTGGCTTCCAGTCAAACAGATTTTTGCATGTTCTAACCCACTAAATCAGTGGTCTTTTATCTAAGCCTTGATCAATATGATTTCTTGATGCTGAAAATCCAGCTCATCAGGTATTTTTATTATCTAGCTCTGAACTAATAAAATTTCTTTGCGCCTAAAATTTAAACAAAACAGGATTTATATATATAACGGGTGAAAGTGTTAAAACTTATGTGAAAAATATTGAACATAACAGATAGAAAGCAGAATGAATAAATGAATAAATGAATCGGGTATAGAAAGAGATCATCAATTATATACAGTTACATCTGTACTTTTAAGGTCAAACTGAACTAGATCAATAATAATCATGGTATTACATGATGAAGACAGTGCAAAGACTATACAAATAATATCATGAGTTTATACATGAATGTTAGCTCGATCCTTCACGGTGAAAATGTTGTTAGCATTATCTCTATAGGATTGAAGTATTAACCATGACGGAGCTACTTTAATTGTGATGATAGTCTACACCATGATGATCACATATCAAGACTGAGTCTTAAGAGCAGCATGTTTACGTGTCTCTTACAGTCAATAATGAACATCATCAGATCATACCCTATAATTAATGAAACTGGAATTTTTCTATTTGCGAATTTTGCAAATATAAGATACTCTCTATTTGAAATCGGTTCGAGAATTCGACATATACAGGTCTATATGATAGGCTGAGATTTTTGTGTTTCTTGACAGATACTTGAAAATTATCAATATTGTCTCTCAGAAAAGAAGCTGTCAAGTTTATTTTGAAATTATTTTAAACACATGTAACTTTCATCTTTAGAACATCAGGATTTCGTTCCACCCAGCAAATACACTGTAATAAAAAAGCGCAGAATAATAAATCCTTAAAGGGCTCGTGAAAGTGTAACATGTAATAAACCTTTTTTTAAGTTTATATCCAGTTTTCATAAACCCTAAAAGTATTTGTTATACGTTGCACTTTCATAAACCCTTATAAGGTTTTATGAGATTCATATACGCTTGCAGTAACCCTTCAAAAAGATTTATGAAAAGTTGCAGTTAGTGCAAAGATTTAATATTCTATCTTTTTCTTTACAGTGCACAAGAAGCTTCCTCAAACTTATTCATGCTTTATGTGACCATCGATTAACACAACATTTTGAAGTAGTTACTCCTAACAGATAGAAATACATGAACAGAACTTTTGTTATCAGTATTTATCTATTGTATGATTTTTCGGCAGTTGGCTGTAATAAAGCTTTCCTTTCCAGCAAGAAATATAAGTGAATAGGATGTTAACGGTCGTTCTGATAATTCTGTTCTTATGCCAACTATGATCGCTTTAAGAACTTTATAATATGCTTCGAAAAGTCAAGATAAGTGAATATCATCGTCATAGAGATTATTCAACTGCTATAAAATTTCAATTCTTACACTGACTCTATCGATTCTGTACTCTGTAAGCAAGATCCTTGGGTAGAATACTTGCGCCAGATGCGGCCAATGCCGTTATGATCATTCATTTTTTATTTGATCTTGAATTTGAGAACGAACTGCAAAGATTTGCATTCAAGTAAAAAAACATAAGCGTACAAAACACTGATTCGATCCATTCATTTGATATATTCGCTTCTTTATGTTTAGCGACTCCATAGTTTTGCTTGATACTGAAGAAAATAGACGAACAATCTCATTGGTATTATTAAAATCATGCAATTATCATGCGAACACTGTTGAAACACTGAATCAAAATATTCACTTTGATGTAAACAAAATACGTTCACAAACCTATAGGCGATGATAATCATTCATGTGACCAATGACTCTGGACAAATTTATCTTTCTTGAATCTCTGCTTTTATGGGCATTAAGTAGATGAACAAAATTATTCAGTAAGTTACACATGGCTAATAACGATTTGTTTGTGATATGATCGTAGCACGCATGCACCCATCGGAAAGTTTGCATCATAGTAAGTAAAATAGGTGAACATACCATCCAAAATAAGTATGATTTCCTTTTCATGTGATCGTTGATCAAGTTAATAGATCACAAGCACATGTGCTTAGAGAGTGAGATAGATGAATAGGGTCACTGGAAGAATTATGATCAGTCGTTTGCCACATCATCGTTCAAAGTACATATTTTTCAAGACTCTATTTTAACGAATATCATACTATTGAATAGGAGAATTGGTCTAAGAGTGATTCTAATGATTCAACTTTTATGCAATCTTGGATCACTAGACAATCTTGCACGCTTCCATATGCTATAAAAGAACAAGACAGGTGAACAACGTCATTGGGAACGTTATGTTGATCCATAAATTTTGTCATCTTCGACCAGTGCGTTAAGATCTATAATATTTAGTTAGGCATGCACGAAGATAACTGAACAAATTTGTTATCGAATAAATGTTGATATATCATAACATCATTTTGAAACCAAGAAAAATTGGATCTTTTATTTTAAAGTGGCTAAAATAAATGAACAAAATCACGATGATGCTGATTCACTAATCATAAGATATTTGATCAACAGTACTCACATGTAATATTTGTTTTACAATGATGATTATAGATGAACATAACAATAATGATAATCAATCATTTGACTTATGATCGTTTTCTTTCGTGCCAATGCAGTATCTTTCACCTACATGATGGTAAATACGTGAATGAAATTCTAAATTTGATAATTATTCATTCACTGTAGATCATTCGGTTAATGGATTGGTTCAACCTTCAAAGTAAGTAGGACATATAGATGAATAGAAGCATTTCGAGCGTTTCAAAAAGCGTTATAACTATTCATTTTATATGTGATGATAAACTAACTAAAAATTTTCCAACATTTCTTTCAGCTTAGTGAAAATAAACGGATATGATATTGATCATAGTTATCCGTTTGCCAAATGACATATACTCATCTAACTATAGCGACAATTTCACTTCAAACTTATTCTCAATGATGAACGGATAGTTGGTGCAACATGTTGTTAAAATCCTTTTTGATGCAATATTCGATAATCAGCCTAAGTGGCGATGTTTCGTTCCAAGTCAGCAAAAGAGGTGAACAGAAGTATTTTGAGTAATGTTTGTTGGTATTCTGATGTTCGATGATGAGACTGAATGGCAACATTTGTTTCAAAGTAAGGAAAAGAGATGAACAGATGCCTTATGAGCAATATTCGTTTGTGATGTGTTGTTCGATGATCAGAGTGAGCAGCAACGTTTGGTTCGAAGCGAGCAAAAGTGGTAAACAGCAATCTTATTAGTAATATTCGTCTGTGATGTGGTGTTCCAGGATGAGTGAGTGGCAATGTTTCGTACGAAGGGAGCAAAAGGGATGAACAGAAGTGTCTTCCGTAATGTTCGCTCGTGATATGATGTTCGTTGACGAGAGTGAGTGGCTACGTTTCGTTCAAAGTGATCGAAAGAACTAAACAGAAGTATTTTGATGAATGTTCGTTTATAATGTAATGTTGGATGATGAGTGAGTGGCAAGCTTTGGTTCAAAATGAGCAAAAGAGGTGAACAGACGTATCATTATGAATGATCGTTTATGATGTGATGTTCGATGATCAATGACTGGTAAGGTTTGAGTCAAAGTGAGCAAAACAGGTAAGCAGAAGGATCTTGAGTAATGATCGTTTGGGACATGATGTTCGATGATGAGAATGAGTAGCAACATTTGCTTCGAAGTGGGCAAAGGAGGTGAACAGAAGTCTGGTGAAGAATTTTCGTTTATTATATGAAAGTTTGATGATGAGAGTGAGCGGCAACGTTTGATTCGAAGTGAGCAAAGGAGGTGAACAGAATTCTGCTTATGAATGCTCGTTTGTGATGCGATGTTCGATGATGAGAGGGAATGGCAACGTTTGATTCGAAGTAAGTAAAAGATGTGAACAGAAGTCTGATAATGAACGTTTGTTTGTGGTGTGATGTTCGATGATGAGGATGAGTGGAAACATTTGCTTTGAAGTGAACAAGAGAGGTGAAAAGAATTCTGCTTATGGATGTTTGATTGTGATATGATGTTCGATAGTGAGAGTGAGTGGCAACGTGTGGTTCGAAGTGTGTAGAAGAGGTGAACAGTAGCATCATTATGAATGTTTGGTTGTGATGTAATGTTCAATGGTGAGTGTGAGTGGCAACGTTTGGTTCGAAGTAAGTAGAAGGGTTAACCCTACTTTGATCGAAAATAAAACTTTCGAAAGATAAAAATGTCGAAAATAACCATTGTAAAAATGCCGAACGATAAAAATATCGAACTATAAAGATATCGAAAATTAAAATGCCGACATATAAAAATGCAACATGTAGAAATTTCGAAAAAAACGATGTCGATAGGCAAAAATATCGAAAGATAAATATATCGAAAGATAAATATATCGAAATAGAAAAATGTCAAAGAGTAAATATATCGAGAAAAAAAAATGTCGAAAACCTAATAATGATGATTGAAGAAGCTATCACATCCCTATGAACCAATGTATAATCGAGAAAAAGTGAGTTTTAATAAATTTATTTCATTTTAATATATGGATAAAAAAATTTTTATATACGTCGACAATGACAAAGAATTAAAAAGTGAAAATAAAAATGAACTTAATTTATGGAAAATTTTAAGTCTAATTTTTTGATGTACCGATAAGAAGTGATAAGCCATGAAGAAGTTGAGAAGTATTCATAGATCCATTATTGTATCGTTCATATAAAGTATTAAGACGATTTTGTTTTTGATTTGAACGTAGATTTGCTTTTTTCGCCGCACCAGCAGACCACTGAATAACAATTGAATGCAATCGTTTTTCTTCTGCTTGCATAAATTTCGTAAATTTCCATATGTTGCTGTGATTTCGTACGATACGGTGGTTCATTCTGCTATGATAACCTACAACAGTGATATAGAATATTTAGTCTCAAAATAAATTCTGCTATATTCTCACCTTCACAGGTGTTATTGGTTCTTGTATCCGTTGTGGAAACATTCCATATGTCAATATCACCTAACCATTGTTTATCAAAATAAAGTAATAATTGTTCCATTTGTGGATTTGATAATTGTTGAATATCATTTCGAATTTCATCATA